GAATGAGTGTGTTTGGGTCGTTTAGGGCGTCTGGTTGGGGCCTGGTTCGGCGACGGTGTTTTTGGCGCGACCTGTTGTGCGCCTGTGTTGGCGTTGCCATTGCCGGCGTTAGTCGATTTCTTGTGGCGGCGCCAGCGTCTCCTTGATCGTGAGGGTCGCGTGTTTCGTGAGGGCTCGTGTTTGGGTGGTGTTCCGGGTGGTTGGAGCTTGGAGCTGAGGTTCTGAGTGGCCTTCCTCGCGGCCGGGCAATATGAGTCCGTCGCAATGTGAGATCCCTTGCAGTTCCTGCATTCTAACGTTTCGCCGTTGCATTCGTCATCGCCGTGCTTCATCCTGCCGCACTTTTCGCATCGTTGCCGGTGCTGGTTGGGGCAGATGTCATGCTTGTGGCCGATGTCATGGCACTGTGAGCATACTACGACTTTGGGTTTCTATTCGAAGACCCTTTTCTCGAGTAAGTCGTACAACACGTGCGAGGGGAGAGTCGGGCCGACGAAAGTGATGAGAATGGAGCAAGACGATCCCATGGGTCGCGCTAAGAGAACTCGGTGTGGAGGACATGTGATAATTCGTTGTAGTGTCTGTGCGTTCGATTCGTGGACGCCGTGGATGACGCCCCGGGCGTTATCTCGCCTAGCTGGCTCGTAGGTTTGCACTAGAATTGGCTTCTAGCCCCCGAATGGGAAAGATTCCACCTTGAGAAGGTGGTCTCTTATCTGGGAGTTGGAGGTGTCTATTGCGATCGTGTTGGACCTGTGCAGCACGCGAACCTTGAAACCGGTCGTTACGCGAATCTTGTTTGCCTCGCTCCTCACCGCGTGTATGAAGAGCTTCGGGGAGAGTGCCGCCATCCTGATCGGTTGTTTCGGCCGTAGAATGATGGTGTAGTTCGTGGTACGTACTTTCCTTCTGCGTTGTGTGACGGGCGTCCAGCCATCCTCATCGGCGTCCGTGGGTTTGCGATGGACCCAAAGTTAGCCCACGTAGCCATCCGGCGGGCAGCCTCGTGAAACGCTGCGTTGACGAAGCGTCCCCCGGCCGCGTTCAGCCTGCCCGTGCGCCGTTTCTTGGTGTCTGGCGGAGCGTTGCTTTTAAGTTTCGCCGAATATAAAACGGCGCTTGTGAGCTCACCGTGGTCGCTGCCTTCGGGTGCGGGGGTTTCGTGAGGTCCGCTTGCGTTGTCTTGAAGAACGGAGAACGGGTTCCAGTCGTTGCCTGCTCCGGTGGGAAGTAGGCTTAGCGGCCGCGGAGCCTCGAGTTGTCGAGTTCCTTCGGAAAAATGAAAGGTATCGCCTTCCGGTCGCAAGTCCTTGGAGTAATCGGTGCCGGTAACGTTCTCGGACATTTCGGCGAAAGTTGGGGGTGTTTACCCCGAATAATCCGCTAAAATTGCCCGTTAAATACGTGACCGATGTGAGACCTTGCCAGCAAGCCACTAGAGTTGCCAGACCTCCTCTCCACGTTCATTCGTGCGCACTCCTTTGAAGTGCGAAATGTGGGTTTGCTTCGGCATTAAAACAATGAGAGATTCAATTACCTCTTCTTCTCTTGCGCTTTGCTCCAAAGATTTTTTTTTTTTTTTTTTTTTTTTGTACTGCATTTGTATTGTAAAGCGCCGTTCACACTCTCGCAACCGAGTAGGACGGAGAGAGGCCAGACCGGTTTTTAAGCGTCTTGCGACATCTTAGGACCAGCTTCACTGCAGAACAACCGGTCTTAAAGGGTAACTGCAAAAAAAAAAAAGTAATTTCTTAAACAGCCTAATTGGGACAAGCATGTCACAAAACAAATGTTCCGCGAAAAAAAAAATTATTTTTTTTATCAATATTTAAGCCACAGGACGTAATTTAGGCGGAGTCAGAACCCCTCCACATTTGAAACTCCCGCTCCTTCGACCCCCGCGGAAGAAGAGTGCGCCCCGCCCCTCACTCTCCTTGCGTTGCGGCCGTTGCGGAGTTGAACGACGCAGCGTCTCGACTTCAGGTAAGATCTGGCAACAACGCACGGCGGCGGTATTGTTTTGGTTCGACGCGGTTTGCGAGCACATGTAGCGAAGACGTGACCGTAGAAGTGCCCCTGTGATGTTCCCGGAAGATGGAAAGTATCATTCGTAATCGTCGTGCGTGCTTTGAAAGCGAGGGAAGTCACAGAATCCACGAGTGCGCAACCACAAGCCAAGGTTCACGACAGCGCTGCGTTGGTTTCGGCGATCTCGTTCTGTTTGGTGCAACACGGCGATGCGACAAAGAGCTGAAATGTTCGTGGTGTGTGTAATGGGGTGCTAACACGGAGCGCAAATTGGTTGTTGTGGGGTTGACGTTCAACCAGTTCAGTCCCGTCGCTGTCTGCCTCGTTCGGTTTCAAAATGTGGAAGTTTCCCGACGCATACCATGAGTAAAAAGCTGCGGGCGTTTTCAACAAAATTACGTCCTTTTAATTGAACAATGGACTCCGAATTGTAGTCCTAAATCTGCCGTTTTTATGCTTCGAGTTGGACTGCGTTTGCACAGCGACGTGTTGCATCGTGCGGTGTGAAGAAATTTGTGCACGATTTCGTAGCCAGACATGTACAAATTACTCAAGAAAGATATATATTTAAGTTACTGAGTATCGACACCAAAAGTAATTGAGTAGAGTAGAAATTACGCATTTGCAATAGTAATTGAGTAAACTACTAACTACTGTAAAAAAGTAGAGAGTTATATTGAAGTTACTTTCGAAGTTACTTTTTTATATTTTTATGGTAGCAAAATGAACAGCAGTTTTGATCCGTAAAAAGCCCTGCGAGCCGAAAATAAATGCAGTCATTTTATTACTTCCAAGATAGTTTATTCGCTCGCAGAAGCAATTGTCTTTCACAGTTCTTATCGGAGAGTTTTCCCCTTTTTCTTCTAATGACGTCCCCAGCCAAGCTAACCAGATGTTCCACCGTGGCGCTGGATGCAAAGGCCGCGTTCAATTTCAGAAACCGGCTGTGCAGGGTCGGGTAAGCGAGTGTCGGCAGCTTTGGTGTCCATGACGAAAATGTAAGGTTTGCCTTGGCTAGAGGGTCTTTTAAAACAAACTCCTCCTCCTTTTTATTTCTTCTTCAGCAAGTTGAATTTGTTATGACTGACCCCTCTTTATTTTCACGACGTTCGGAGTACGCCTAGCGAGTGCACCTGGCCGTCAAGGGATCAAGTCTCGCCACACGACGATGAGATCATCCGGACGACTGCGCGTCTCGTTGCAGTGTTAGTGCTACGCCACTGAAAAAAAAATGCTTTGGTTTAGCAGAAGAGCGGGTCCAACAAAACTATCTCCCAAGTGTGACTCGCAATAAGGGAGTTTTAGCAGGTCGTTACCACACGAACGGTTCGCCCTCGAACGCATCCGCGACGTCACTGCGCATGCGGGCGCGAGTCGTTCGGGGAGTCGGGAGGCTCTTCTCGTTCCTTTCTCCAATTCCGGCCGCTGGAGTCGTCACCGCAACGCAGCCAGCGCCGTTCACGACTCGGGTAAAAAAAGGATGGCGGTCGGTTCGGTGACCGCCTTCCCCGACCCAGCCGAGCGTTATGCTTAGGACAGCGGGAGGCGATTTGGCCGTCCTTTTAGTCTGCTTCATCCGAGAGGTTGAACCAAATCATTACGAGTACTGCTCACAATGGTAAGCGATCGTGAATGCTGTAAACTCCGCATGCTAGTTAATTTTTGCGATCTGCGGGCAGACTAGCTGCCGTGGCGACCGCGAGCAGACGAAATGATTTGGTTCAACGGTACACGGCGTGAACGATCGTTCAAGTTCAAGATGACAGAGACACACCACATACATTTACGGTCGTTCAGACACTTTTTACTCTATCTAGCTTCGCAGTTCTTGAAATTCCGACCGCAAACGTTACGTCAGCCGTCTTGTTTACATCGTTCGTACGCCAGAAACACGAGCCGCCACCATGGTGTCCGCCACCGTTGCGTTGTAGAATGTTTCACATGTTTACTAGGAGATGGCGCACCGCTAAGCACGATCATCACCATCGTTTACATGGTCGCGCCACTTTCAAGATTCGCTAAAGTATGTCAAATTTGACGTACGGTTTCACGGAACGGACCAGCTGTACCGTTCGTGATTTCGGAACCGTGTGCTTGAAAAACGACTCGCTAAAACTCTTTATAGTCGCCGGCGACTACGGTATCCTGACGCCTGACAAGTAAGTCGTCCTCCACAAAGAGGAGGTCTCCCTGGGGTGGAAGGTCAGAAGGACGCGAAGGATTACATGAACAAGCGTCGCCGCTCGTACAGTTGGAGATGAAAGCGGGAACCTGCTCCCATAAACGGATTATCCGTGTCTACGTTTGTGCGCGGGGGCAGCATCCCCCCTGGGCCGACCCTCGCGGAAGGGCCGAGCGTGGATTAGGGCCGAGCGAGCCGGAACTGCCGAGTGCGGGTGCTAGGCCGACGACTGCGAAAGGGCCAGGAGGGTTGTCGAGGCCGAAAGAGTGGGGAAGGCCGGGCACGGCGGCAAGGCTAAGGGAAGCGTAAGGGCCGATAACGGGGGTGGGGATTAGAGCGATCAGTGCACGCGTGGCTTCTTTGTCGACGCGGGAATTCGTTGGAAAGAAAACCGATAGATGGCGCGCCCTGTTTTCGCTCCTTTCTGTTTGGAGACCTGTTTGGTTTGACGAGTCTGGCGTGGAGCACGGTGGAAGAAAAATGTGTTTCTTCCACCTTGGCCTAAAAACCCTTCTTTTTTAACACACATTTTGAGCGAGCGATTGTCACGACAGAGTGAAGTCTGGAAAAGCGAAACAACGTAATCCCGCTGCATCAGCTCTCGTGCAGCCAGATCTTCTTGCAGTGCTATAAACTCGTGCTCTAGCTTTCGCTATAATACACGGGACTCCTAAATTGTCTCAACATCTTTGTCTTCTATGTGCTTCCCTGTAGGGCGCGGGCACAAGCCCTGTTTGAATAGAAGCCTCTTGCCTTTCCTCTAGGCTGACTGGCGCGGGCGCACGACACAACCATGCCGAATCTAACGCAGTTCATACCACAGGTGCTGCTGCTCGTCATCGCTGCACCAACAGCTTCACCGATTGCCTTTGGCGCGGACGTCACCCACGTGATTGGTCTCGCTGGAACTACCCGGGAGGAATCCACGGCTGCGTCATCTGTGACGTGGTACAACATCGATGACTTCCGCACGGGGGCGCACCGGGGAACGCTTCCGTTTCCGTCGACTGGCTGTTGTCTACAAAAGGATCTACCACCCTTGCAAGCATCGGGGCACGACACAACCATGCCGAATCTAACGCAGTTCATACCACAGGTGCTGCTGCTCGTCATCGCTGCACCAACAGCTTCACCGATTGCCTTTGGCGCGGACGTCACCCACGTGATTGGTCTCGCTGGAACTACCCGGGAGGAATCCACGGCTGCGTCATCTGTGACGTGGTACAACATCGATGACTTCCGCACGGGGGCGCACCGGGGAACGCTTCCGTTTCCGTCGACTGGCTGTTGTCTACAAAAGGATCTACCACCCTTGCAAGCATCGGGGCACGACACAACCATGCCGAATCTAACGCAGTTCATACCACAGGTTTGTTACTTGAAATACGCGAAATGTTATCGTTCCAATAACATACTGCTCTTAGAGGTGTCGTGCCCCATCGACCTAAAGCGTCTACTAACCCTTTGTTGCAGCGCTGTAACCTTTGTGTTCAATTGTTTACTTTCGTTACCCCATGATGGCTGCCTTCTTTTCCTTGACGCGTTATTGCTGCTTTGCGGAGACGTCGAGCTCAACCCTGGCCCTACTGATATGGAAAAATTGAGCAAACTAATTGAAAACCTGGCGTCGACCAATGACAAGTATCAAAACGAAACACGCGAAAGACTGAGCGGCATCAGTTCAGGGATCGACGAACTAAAGCAGAAGGTAGCTACTCTCGAGAAGCAAATGCAGGAAATAAACGGAATTAAGGAAAGGCTTGCCGTGGTCGAATCTTCCTTGCACGAAGTTCAAAGAGAAGTCTGTCACTCGCATGATAAAATAGACGCCCTTGACGCTGGTATCGACGACCTCAACAACAGAATGAGGTGGAACAACTTGTTATTTAGGGGCATCCCAGAGAAACAAAAGGAGACGTGGGAAGAAACGGCTTGCCTCATAAAAGAATTCGTTAATAACCATCTGGGTATAGAGACTGGGGAGATAGAACGTGCACATCGCGTCGGCCAAAAGCGCGGGGTAACTGCTCGACCGATTGTAGTGCGCTTCTTAGACTACAGGAATAGACAAAACGTGCTGAATAACGCCAGTAAACTGAAGCATTTAACTTCATTGAAGGTGTCTATCTCGGAGGACTTTACTGCTAGGGTTTGCTTCCACCGGAGCAAATTGTGGCACTTTAGTAGCAGTTCAGAGAAAAAAACATTAAAGTGAAACTCGTGAACGACAAACTTTATGCTGATGGCAAGCAATATTCATACTGTTCCGACAGTGACGAGATTATTTTGCTTAACAACTTCCAAACCACAAATTTGGCGACTACTTGACAACCTGATAAAACATCTAGACATGAGTGTGTTGATCTCGGAGTGCTCGTGGCGAATTTTCGTAGTTTTTTACCTAAACAAGATATTTTTTTGTCAACTGTGAATGACACGGACGCAAAAATTGTTATCGGGACAGAAACGTGGCTATATCCGGAGATAAACGATGGCGAATTATTTTTTAATCAATCATTTCATCTATTTCGAAAAGACCGCACACATTCCCGTGGTGGCGGCATTCTTATCGCTATCAGCAAAATGATGGATGCTTCCCTTATATCTTTAGATAGTGAACTAGAAATTTTGTGGGTACGCTTGAGTCACCCTTCGTTGCCCATCATTGTTGGCGCCTGCTATCGCCCTCCAGGCCGAGATAGTACTTTTGTTACGAAGCTGCACGCTTGCATGGAGCAAATTTTTTCTTTATTTCCCAGTAGTACTGTTATTTTTGGCGGCGATTTTAATTACCCCGGGGTCAACTGGAAAGAGGAAGAAATAAACTCTTGGGTGGCCCATTCAGAAGTGTCCAGTTTTGTTGACTTGATGAATAGCTACGGTTTAACTCAAACTGTATTGGAACCCACAAGAAATAATTCTGTTTTGGATCTTGTTTTTACCTCGAGTGCAGAAAATGTAAAATCGGTTCGTATTCTTGAGAAAATCAGCGACCATAACACAGTCCTAGTAGAAATGTCTCTGCCAGTAATAGGTAAAAAAATAACCCCTAAAACCATAAACGTCTACAGTAGAGTTAATGAAAACGCTCTAAACGAGTCCTTTGAGCTGTTTGCTTCGGAATACGAGCTGCATTTTAGCGAAAGAACAGTCGAGCGCAACTGGGAAATGCTCAAAAATGAATTTAGGCGTATAAAGTCTGATTTTGTACCTCAGATGGTTTTAAGGACGAGTGCTGATCAACCATGGTTTACAAATATCATTAGGAAAATAAATAACAAAAAGAAACGTCTTTATGTCAAAGCAAAAATTACAAACCTTGCGTCTGACTTCACTAAGTATAATGACTGCTGTAAAGAGTTTAAAAGTAACATCAAGAAGGCAAAGGATAAATATTACAAGCAAGACCTACTTAACTTATTAATAAACAATCCCCAAAAATTTTGGAAAAGTATATGTCCGAGAAAAGATGATTCGCTTCCTAAATTGTGCAACGAACACAACGAAGTGCTAACGAACCTTGAATCAGCTACCGTCTTTAATAACTACTTTGCATCCGTATTTACCTTAGAACAATTACCTGTACCCAGTGATCTAATATGTAAACCAATTAACGTCTACTGTGAACCTATCACTTTTAACCCCTATGGCATTTTGAGTGTGATAGAAAGGCTCTCCCGAAGTTCAGGTCCTGGTGATAACGAAATCTGTCCTAAACTTCTCAAATTAACAAAGAACATATCCTGTCGCCTTTTGTGTCGCTTGTTCCAACAATCGCTCGACTTAACTTCCCTTCCCGCAGACTGGAGATTCGGGAGAGTTTTACCCATTTTTAAGACCGGCAATAAAAACGACTCATCAAATTATAGACCCATATCACTAACTAGTGTGCCTTGCAAGATTATGGAACATGTCATCTACTCCCACATTATGAACTATATGTCAGAACATCAATTAATATGTAATAGTCAGCATGGCTTCAGGAAGGGATATTCATGCGAAACCCAACTTTTTGAGTTCGTTACTGATCTACATAACAACTTCCACTCGTCTCACCCTACTGACGCCATCTTCATTGATTTCTCAAAAGCATTCGACACGGTTCCTCACCAACGTCTCCTATATAAACTTTCAAAACTAAACATTCACCCTTCTATTATCCACTGGATCGCTCAATTCTTAAGTAACCGTAACCAGGCTGTCCACCTGGGGCAGGACAAATCACCTAGCCTTCCCGTAATATCAGGTGTTCCGCAGGGCAGCGTTTTGGGTCCGCTTTTATTTCTTATCTATATTAATGACCTTCCTCTCCATATAACATCTTCCATAAGGCTTTTCGCAGATGATTGTGTTATTTATCGTCGTATTACTAAACCTGAAGAGTCTTTAATATTGCAGCAGGATTTAAATATGTTTTCACTATGGTGTAACACATGGCAGATGAAAGTTAATGTCACCAAGAGTAAACTATTAACATTCACTGGCCAACAAACGCCTGCAATACGAAATTATACATTACAAACTCTGCCTCTCGAAAAAGTGTCCAGCTACAAATATTTAGGTGTAACATTTTCAGACGACCTAACCTGGAATACCCACATTAACACTGTAGTTTCTAGTGCTTGTAAATCTCTAGGATATATCAAACGTAACCTTCACAGTACCCCGCATTGTGTTAAACTAACAGCCTATAAATCCTTTGTGAGGGCTAAATTGGACTATGCCAACTTTATTTGGTGGCCGCATCAAGCTTACCTTATTAACAAACTTGAATCAGTTCAGAATAAAGCATCTCGCTTCATATCTCATGACTACTCACGGACATCAAGCGTAACCGCACTTAAAACAAAGCTAGACCTTTGCCCACTGGCCGAAAGAACTAAACTTGCTCGTCTTGTCATGTTCCACAAAATCTACTATTCCTCTTCGTCATTCCGAAACCATTACTGCCAACCTCCGTCTCACATCTCCTTACGTCGTGACCACAGCCAGAAAATAAACCCTCTATTTGCGAGAACTAATAAATTTCAAAATTCCCCGCTCTCTCTAGCCATCAATAACTGGAATTCTCTTCCTGAGGCTATTGCTCTCGAAAATAATCCAGCTAAATTCCGCGATCTTTGCAAGGCACACCTCAAAAGTGTTTTTCGTTAGTCTAAATGTTTATGTCGGTAGCTAGTCATTAGTTTTCTTTTTTATGCATCCTGATGCGATCTAACCCTAGCCATTTTTCGGCAAATATTACTATTTGTATTTGTTTGTGAATCTACTTTTGCTTTTGTTTGTTTTTATGTGAGTTTGTATTCTTATCCCCCCTCATGTAATGCACTTCGGTAGAAGTGCCTTTGAGGTATAATAAAATGAAATGAAATGAAAGTGTCTTCACGCGGCAAGGTCAGGAGCGTCATTTCGTCGCGTACTACTACTTCCGACTTTATAAGCCCTCACAGTGGAAGGCAAGAGGAAGAACATCAGTTTTCTCTGCGCCCCTGCCAACAAAAGAAAAATAAACTTACCATGATTCCACGGATAAATTCGGAGTACACTTGATGTGTGGTAACTGAGGTGGCCAAAAAAAAAAAAAAAAAAGCAAAATACTCCTACGAGGGCTGCTAAGCCTATCGCACCATATTACACATTCTGTGCACTCCGAATTGTGTGTGCGATCGATCGAGGTAATTTGCAAAGAAAAAGTCTGCTAAGCAAACGTTTGGATACAAAACAAATGAGGAGATCTACGGAATGGAATTTGCTCCTTTTTGATGCAGAGGCCCGACATGAAATTCTAAATTGAAACCCGGCTCACACCGCTTATACCTCATACAAAAGACAGTCTGACAGACACGATCGAGTCACCGCGAGATCCGTGTTTCGAATGCCGTGTGCCATTTCTCTTCTTCAACTCTTTGCCCTGCAGCATTCGAAGAATGGACCTCGCGGTGACTCGCGTTCGAATCTGTCCGCAGACCGTCCTTCGTAGGATTTATGAGCAGTGTGACCCCCGCTTAACGTTCAGGTATCAATTTTATTATGAAAATACTGAAAAATTACGTAGACGGGGGCGGTGTGTCATAAAGCAAAAGCGACGGGATTGCCATGGTGGAGAAGAACAATCAGAGATGCTTAAAAGAGATGTAAAAAAAATAGCAAGGCGAGTAAAAAAAAAAGAAAAAGAATTAAGATTAATTAACTGCGTCTCTATGAGAAAGCAATTGACGTCGCACTGAGTTTCTATTTGTGCACGCGCTCACTAGGTAACCGGACAAAAGCTCACCGTACAAATGCTCACTTAATTTTTTTGGCTAACAGGGCGAAAGACAGGCTGGGATAAAGTGCGGACACGATGGACATTGCACAATTTTTTAGGAGAACTGGTACCCCTTACCATACAAAGGTGTCGACAGATAAGCCATAACAGGCGAAGCGACGATTTGGGACCAAAATTTAGGTCACCGATATTGAGTGCAACTGATAACATAAAGCTTGCTTAACTTAAGGTATGCCGGAGCACCCTTGCGCCACGCTGAAGGAACTTCGTGGATCGAAGTTTTGAACCCGATTTTTCAATGTTCAAACGCGCACATAAAAATTATGCAGAATCTACTCATCGACACTGCAAGAACACAGTGGCATATAACGATTAATGTTAGTCTGGAAATACCTTTAGCATATTACTGGAACCATGCTTAAATAGGCTGGTTTAGGCGTGTTAGCTTTGCCACGAGAAGTTGAAGTTGCTCGAGCGCTTGTAAACTTTGATTTTGTCAACGCGTGATTTAGGTGAATTTCTGCAAAGTAAAAAAGAAAATAGTGCGGTACAGAAATTATATATGTTTTGCTATTTCTTTGTGCATATTAAGGCGTCGCAACCAAAATGGGTTGCCAACTATAGGCCGCCGTTATGTCCAAGCGTCTATGCCTCGCCATTCCGTCGTGGCCAAATGCATGGGACTTTTGCTCTAGATTATTATGTTGACTCTATAATCCCGACAGACAAACTTCGTACCCCAACTACGGGTTTATGGACAACACTTCGTGTCAGATGAGGAACCTCTTTGCGATTGGCTTGGGGAAAATATATTCTGAAATGTGATTATAAAAAGACGGCTGTCTGACTACGCCGCTACCGCTGCCACAATAAGACGCAG